AAAAAAAAAAAAAAAAAAAAAAAAAAAAAAAAAAGAAATTGAAATTTTGGAGCTGAAGAATACCAAAAAAAATAACTGACAAATTCTCAAATGTAAAAAAAAAAAAAAATTAAGAAGCTTAACACATTTCAAATAGGATAAACACTAACAGACCCATAACAAGACTCATTATAGGCAGTTTCAAAAAATTACAGATGAGAAGAGAATCTTGAAAACAGAAATGGAAACGCAACGTGTCATCTGTAAGCATGCTTCTACGAGACTGCCAGAGCAAAGCTGTTTTATAAACCACCATTCTAGCACTACAGAATTTTATTTTTGTGTATGTGATCACAGGGCATACAGAGAAAACAGGAAACCTGCCTTACTTGAAGAAACAAATCTCCAGAAACTGACCCTTAAGAAAGAGAGATTTTTGCATTTTTCGGACAAAGAATTTAAAGTAATCATCTTAAACATGTTCGTTCAATGACCAAAAGCATAACACATTTAATTAACTACACAAAATCAGGTTGGGCATGCTGACAAGAGCAATACAGTTTATATAAAGTAAAATATTCAGGTTTTTGTTCATTTAAAAATAATTTCTGGCTATGCACAGAGGCTCACACCTGAAATTCCAGCATTTTGGGAGGCTGAAGTGAGAGAATTGTTTGAGACCAAGAGTTCAAGACCAGCTTGAGTAACACAGTGAGACTGTCTCTACAATTTTTTTTAAAATTAGCCAGACATGGTAGTATGTGCCTATAGTCCCAGCTACTCAGAAGGCTGAGGTGGAAGGATCACTTGAGCTCAGGAGTTTGAGGCTACAGTGAGTTATGATCACACCACTGCACTCCACCAGCCTGGATGACAGAGTAAGATCTTGTTTAAAAAAAAAAAAAAAAAAAAAGGGCCGGGCGCGGTGGTTCACGCCTGTAATCCCAACACTTTGGGAGGCCGAGGCGGGCGGATCACGAGGTCAAGAGATCGAGACCATCCTGGTCAACGTGGTGAAACCCCGTCTCTACTAAAAATAAAAAAAATTAGCTGGGCATGGTGGTGCGTGCCTGTAATCCCAGCTACTCAGGAGGCTGAGGCAGGAGAATTGCCTGAACCCGGGAGGCGGAGGTTGCGGTGAGCCGAGATCGCGCCATTGCACTCTAGCCTGGGTAACAAGAGCGAAACTCCATCTCAAAAAAAAAAAAAAAAAAAAAAAAAAAAATCAGAAAAACCATGCATGAGGAAAATAGTATATCAACAAGGAGATTTTTTTTTTTAAACTATAAAAAAGAACCCAACTAAAATTGTTGAGCTGGAGAATACAACTGTGTTGAAAAATTTACTAAAGAGCTACAACAGCAGACTTAATGAAGCAGAAAAAACATCAACAAATTGAAGACATATCATTTATTGATATCAAATATTGAGTTGAGGACACAAAATTTTAAAAATGGAAAAAAATGAAGATGGAATATAGGACTTAATGGACATCATTCAGTAGACCAGTATATTCATAAAAAGAACTTAGAAGATATAGGTAAAAAGTGGCAAGTTTTTTCTTTTTTTTTTAAAAGGGAGGGGCTGAGAACTTCTAAAATGTGAGATAAAACCAGAAATATTAGTAAGAATCCTTGATTTTAAAAAAATTTACCTTCAAAAATAAGTGAAAAATAGACATCCAAGATAAACAAAAGCTGAGAATGTTTGTTGCTGTTAGTACAGTCCTAAAGGAAATTATAAAAGCAGTCTATTGTGTTGAAAAATAAGCCGGGCGCGGTGGCTCAAGCCTGTAATCCCAGCACTTTGGGAGGCTGAGGCGGGTGGATCACGAGGTCAAGAGATCAAGACCATCCTGGTCAACATGGTGAAACTCCGTCTCTACTAAAAATACAAAAAAATGAGCTGGGCATGGTGGTGTGTGCCTGTAGTCCCAGCTACTCAGGAGGCTGAGGCAGGAGAATTGTCTGAACCCAGGAGGCGGAGGTTGCGGTGAGCCGAGATCGCGCCATTGCACTCCAGCCTGGGTAACATGAGTGAAACTCCATCTCAAAAAAAAAAAAAAAAAAAAAAAAACAAGATGGTAATACTACTGCCATTTCCTTTAGGAATTGTTTTAAATATAAATGGATTAAATTCCTTAATGAAAAGAAAATGGCTGAATGGATTAAGAACAAACAAGATTCTAAAATATGCTGTGTACAAGACACTCAACTGTAGAGTCAAATAGGTTGAAAGTAAAGAATGAAGAAAGGGCCGGGCGCAATGGCTCACGCCTGTAATCCCAACACTTTGGGAGGCCAAGGTGGGTGGATCATGAGGTCAAGAGATCGAGACCATCCTGGTCAACATGGTGAAACCCTGTCTCTACTAAAAATACAAAACATTAGCTGGGCATGGTGGTGTGTGCCTGTAATCCCAGCTACTCAGGAGGTTGAGGCAGGAGAATTGCCTGAACCCAGGAGGCGGAGGTTGCGGTGAGCCGAGATCGCGCCATTACATTCCAGCCTGGGTAACAAGAGCAAAACTCCATTTCAAAAAAAAAAGAATGAAGAAAAATATTCCATGAAAACAGTAACCACAATTGGGTGGTACGGCCACAATTATATTATACAAGATACATTTTTTTTTTTTTTTTGGACGGAGTTTCCCTCTTGTTACCCAGGCTGGAGTGCAATGGCACGATCTTGGCTCACCGCAACCTCCACCTCCTGGGTTCAGGCAATTCTCCTGCCTCAGCCTCCTGAGTAGCTGGGATTACAGGCACGCGCCACCATGCCCAGCTAATTTTTTGTAGTTTTAGTAGAGACGGGGTTTTACCGTGTTGACCAGGATGGTCTCGATCTCTTGACCTCGTGATCCACCTGCCTCAGCCTCCCAAAGTGCTGGGATTACAGGCTTGAGCCACCGCGCCCGGCTACAAGATACATTTTTAATTAAAAACTGTCACGAAAGGCAAAGATTGACATAATGGTAAAATAGGCCCATTTACCAAAAATCTTTAACAGTTTTATATACACACACACTCCACACACAAACATACATATATATGTCTTATGTATATATATGTATATGCGTTTGTGTATGTATGGAGCAACATTTGCTTCCATATATATGAAGCAAATATTGACAGAAATGAAATAAGAAATACACAGCAACACAACAATTATAGATTTCAAGATTCCACTTTCAATAATGAATAGAAAAATCCCATAGAATATCAATAAGAGAACAGAAAATTTAAGTATTATAGACAAATTAGACCTAACAGACATGTTCAGAATTCTCCAGGAAAAGCAGCAGAATATTCTTTTCCAATATTCTCAAATGCGTATTCATTCTGTTAGAATATAAAACATCAAATTTAAGAAGGCTGAAATGACACAATGTATTTTTTTCTAACCAAATCCAAAATATGTAGAAATTAAACACACTCTTGAATGTACTCTTGCTCAAGGGTCAGATGATTTTTTTTTTGTTAAGGTATCAGTACCAACAGTGATACACAAATTCACCATATCTCTATCAAAATCCCAACGGTACTTCTTTTACAGAAATATTCTCCAAATCCTAAAATTTGTTTAGAAATTCTAACTAACCAAACACCATTGCCAAAGAAGAAAAGGCTGGGTGTGGTGGCTTATACTTGTAATCCTAGCACTTTGGGACGTAAACATACCAGGATAACTTGTGGCCAGGAGTTTAAAGCCAGATTGGACCCTGTCTCTTTTTTTTTTTTTTTTTTTGAGATGGAGTCTCGCTCTTGTTACCCAGGCTGGAGTGCAATGGCGCGATCTCGGCTCACCGCAACCTCCGTCTCCTGGGTTCAGGCAATTCTCCTGCCTCAACCTCCTGAGTAGCTGGGATTACAGGCACGTGCCACCAGGCCCAGCTAATTTTTTTTTTGTATTTTTAGTAGAGACGGGGTTTCACCATGTTGACCAGGATGGTCTCGATCTCTTGACCTCGTGATCCACCCGCCTCGGCCTCCCAAAGTGCTGGGATTACAGGCTTGAGCCACCGCGCCCGGCCTTACACTTCCTGTTTCAAATATATTATACAAAGTTATAAAAATAATGTAGCACTGACACAAATATTAATAAATAATGAAACAGAAGCGAGAACCCAGATATAAATCCCTTTGTATAGAATCAAATGACCTTCTACAACCACACAATAGGGAAAGGAGAATCTCTTCAACAAATCATGTTGAAAACTGAGTACCTACATGAAAAAAATTAATTTGGACCCTTCCTTTGCATCATATACAAACAATATTTTGAAAGGATTCAATACGTAATCAAAACTAATAAAACTCTCAGGAGAAAATATAGAGGAAAAGATCATCAAATTGCTCTTTACACTGTTTTTTTTTTTTTTTTTTTTTTTGAGACGGAGTTTCGCTCATGTACCCAGGCTGGAGTGCAATGGCGCGATCTCGGCTCACCGCAACCTCCGCCTCCTGGGTTCAGGCAATTCTCCTGCCTCAGCCTCCTGAGTAGCTGGGATTACAGGCACGCGCCACCATGCCCAGCTCATTTTTTTGTATTTTTTGGAGACGGGGTTTCACCATGTTGACCAGGATGGTCTCGATCTCTTGACCTCGTGATCCACCCGCCTCGGCCTCCCAAAGTGTTGGGATTACAGGCTTGAGCCACCGTGCCCGGCAAGTTTCTTATGTTTAGGGAGATGTCTAGTGTTCTCATAAAAATCACTGAGTATATATTTCTATAGAATGACATTTAAAACCTCTATAGAGTGGGAAAATCACAAAGTAGAAAATATATAATACCTGTACTGGTGTTCCTAGGATTCTAAGCCAAATCCCACTACTCTCACACATCTTAGACATAGTGCAAAAAGGGAACTTAAAAATAGATTAACAAAGAACTTCTAAAAAATACAGATATTCCTGTGTCCCCAAAGCAACGGAAGAACAAGCAGATCACACGTTCTGTTACAAGCTGTGAAGAGGACTTTGGCTCTCACTGTAATCCTGAAGAAAGATCACTGAAGAAAAGTAGAGCCCTGAAAGAATTTAAGAGAGTGGGACAGAGGCATTCCTATGTGAGAGCAAGGGAAAGAAACTCAGGCTTCTCAGAAACCATGTTCATTGGAGCAGAGCTTCCAAAACCACATTTTAAGGTCTGGCTTCCTCCCTGATCTCTGAATCTCTCATCTGTATCACCCATTTAATTTACTCCCACTTACCTGGTTGTTTGGCTACTGTCTCACGTTTCTTCACACTCCACGGCTCATTCCTTTGCTCTAGACAGGTGATCAGGTCTGGCTTAGAGATAGCAATACCTGTTTTATTTTTTAAAAAAAGGACCTGTTTTATTTTTTAAAAAGTAGCATGACTCTTGCTTGGATTCTCCAATTACCAACCTAGTACTGTGTTCACTAGAGAAACAAGGACGTAACAGAAGATTCTAGAAAATAAATCACAAAGTACTGTTTCTTGACAGAGCCTTTAGAATATTTAGAAAGTATTTTAAATTTATGAGTCCCTCGCTTCACCACCTAATAGTACTGAATCAAAAATCGGTGGTGGCAACTAGGTTTTTTAGGGTGTGGGCAACATTATTTTATGACACTAAATTGCTGGAATTATCACTAATCTAGAGTATGTGCATCACTTCAAGAAAGGAAGGTTAATGTCAAGATAAAATACCTTAAAGGTTATTTTTTTCTATACCAACAAATCCCTAAGTTTTCCTTGAAAGCAGAAATCTGAAACTCATTCATGTAAAGCAGAAATTCCCCAAAATATTCTACAGTGAAGGAAATAAAATCCTTCGTGTAAAACAGAAATTATGAAATGACATCATCCTCACCCAGGGAGACCAGGTTTCTGTAGTTTTCTAACATCACATCCCTATACAGATTCTGCTGAGCAGGGTTCAGATAGCTCCACTCTTCAGGAGAGAATTCTATGGCCACATCCCTGAATATCAACAGTCCCTGGAAAAAAGAAAACACATACTTATCAAGTGTCCATGGTTAGAGTTCTTAATTTGATTCCAGGCACAAAGAGAGACAGACAGAATTGGTTCTTACTTACAGAAGAGACTGAAATGATCAAATAATTGTAAACACAGAAATGTTCTCTAATGTATTCTCTAACTCCTAAAGGATGGCATAAGATGCACATAACCAGTATCGATGATCTACTTTTGTGAATACAGCATAAAATTAAGGGCATCAACACAGGCATATATATTTTTTTCCCGCTATATTTATATCACACAGGATAAGTTGTAAATATTTCTCATATGTAGAAGTCATGATTCATCAGAAAGTACCCCTCAAATTTTAATGTGTACACAATAAACTAGAGATCTTCTGAAAATGCAGGTTCTGATTCAGAGGACCTAGGGTGAAGCCTGAGTTTCTCAATTTCTAGTGAGCTATACAGTGATGCCAATGTCTGGCCCAAGGAAAATATTTTTTCCAACATACAGGAAGTGGCAGAGCCTGTGTTTGTTTCAGTTTCAGTTTATCTAATCAGTAAACAAACATGAGAGCCTTCATTTTTCAAAGCAAGCTACAAACAAGGAGAATCTAAAAAGAAAGAGCTTCCTAATTAAATGTGATTGATGGCTTATACACATCAGTCAGTAAATCTCCCCAAGGTACTAAATAATAATGAGAAAAATAACTCTACAGTGGAAAAATCTGATCAACTGTAATAGGATAAATTGATATCAACGTTCACACACAGGAGGACACAAAATCACCACTCTAATATTATTGGCCACAAAAATTGTAAATTATAATCTGAATCTAATCATGTAGCAACATCCAGTTTTTTTCTTTTGTTTTTTGAGACAAAGCCTTGCTCTGTTGCCCAGGCTGTAGTGCAGTGGTGCAATCTCCACTCACTGCAACCTCTGCCTCCTTGGTTCAAGTGATTCTCCCACCTCAGTCTCCCTGGTTCAAGTGATTCTCCCACCTCAGTCTCCCAAGTAGCTGGGATTACAGGTGTGTGCCACCATGCCCAGCTAATTTTTGCATTTTTGGTAGAGATGGGGTTTCGCCATGTTAGGAAGGCTGGTCTTGAACTCCTGACCTCAAGTGATCTGCCCACCTCGGCTTCCCAAAGTGCTGGGATTACAGGTGTGAACCATAGTGCCTGGCCAGAAACATCAGTTTTATGCAAAGTTCAAGTGATAGATATTTCCCAGGTTCTTTAATCTCTAACAGTGTATTTCTTTTTTTTTTTTTTTTTTTTTGAGACAGAGTTTCACTCTTGTTACCCAGGCTGGAGTGCAATGGCACGATCTCGGCTCACTTCAACCTCCGCCTCCTGGGTTCAGGCAATTCTCCTGCCTCAACCTCCTGAGTAGCTGGGATTACAGGCACGCGCCACCAAGCCCAGCTAATGTTTTGTATTTTTAGTAGAGACGGGGTTTCACCATGTTGACCAGGATGGTCTCGATCTGCTGACCTCGTGATCCACCCGCCTCGGCCTCCTAAAGTGCTGGGATTACAGGCTTGAGCCACCGCGCCCGGCAACAGTGTATTTCAAAAGTGTTTTAGTATCCTAAACAGGAGTGTCTTCTAATTATTCTCTTTTCAGAACTTTAAGTTATTCTAGGCAATTAATGCCATCCTCTTTAAATGTCCCTTAATTCTGTTCTGCATAGAGCTGACGGAGCATGTGGATGAAATCTAAACAGTACATAGTCCCCCTCTTCACTGATACCCCAAGACCCAACCCCAACCCAGTGGGAATCTTGGGCATCAACACTTTTCCATGTTGATCTGTTACAGAACATTTTTAATACTGCCCATCATACATTGATGGTGAGATTTGGTCATGACATGTAAGAAGCCTGGATGGAGGGAATGGAGAGAAGATTCTGGTGTATAGGAGTAAGGATTTTACAGAGCTCCTTGATTAACAATCTTAAGAAAAAAAAAAGGGAGAAAGTAGTTGGAAAAAACGTATTAAGCAGGCACATCAGAGTACAGAAATAAAGGTTTGCAAGTTCTCAACACATGACATTCCAAAAGAATAAGAGGATACATCCCCTGATCCCGGACACATTCACCTGAGAACCAGCCATTTCTTCCTCTTCTTCCTTCTTCTCTGGGATTCCTTCTCAGGTGAGATTATCTGGACAAATCACACCTGCATTTGAGAATATGCCTTTAAAGGTGTCAGCACAACCTTTTCACCTGCAACCAACACACCTACAGGCAGAAGGTCCTGAAGCACAGAGGAGGGCACACTCCCTTATTCTTTGTCACAGAAGGGAGAAAAAATGAGCTCCCACACAAAGACCAAAAATTTCCTGCCTTCAGGTGATCTCCCCTGCCATGAACTCCCACAATTAAGGAAATATGGACCTTGTGACCTACCCCTACCAAACCCAAGTAGAACAGGTCCTCTGACCTCCTTTTGGAACTAAAGTCCCGTGACTATATCTGGGAGCCCTCAAGCTTGACTCTGATCTCACCTTAGAATCATGGCGGGGGGGCACTTATTTAAAACAACAATGATGCCTCCATCCAGACCACAGACAAGATCTTTGGAGAAGGCATGCATGATGGTAGTTCTCTAAACTGGCCATGTGATTCTAACTGGAAGCCTGGGCTGAGAACTACACAGCTGAGCACTGTCTCTCAGGCTTCAATGTACATAGAAATAATTTGGTATTCTAATTTGATATTCCAGGCCCCACTCTAAGTAATGTTTCTGCAGGTGTGAAAGGGGTCTGTAAATTGGCTTCTTTATCGAGTCTTCTGATACTGTCCCCCTTGGACTCCTTATCAGCAGCACTCAGCTAGAGAAGGCAAGCACAGCACAGAGTTCCTTCCCAACACTTATATCACAACACAAATGCTTCTGACTGCAAGTGAGGACCACCAATTGCCATCTTGAAAAAATGGCATTCTCTGCTGAACCTTTAACGTTTACTATAGTCTAGAGAAGGCAGCAAAGTCTGAGCAAGTCCACACTGGGAAAACAACATGGACACGTGCATTAATGCAACGTTTATGGAACACCCACTACATGCTCAGAAGTATGTTACAGAGGACGGTGCTGAAAACATAAGTGAGGTAATTCCTCTGACACCCAGGGAGGTGGGCACCAAGTGTCCCATAATCCCCAGGATTTACATGAAGGACCCAGCTTTTCTTTTCCTGTTTCTCCATCACTGATTTTTAGGGAAAAAAATGTAGAGAGTCATTTTTTTTTCTAGAGATGGAATCTGCTCTGCCACCCAGGCTGGACTGCAGTGGTGTGATCTTGGCTCTCTGCAACCTCTGCCTCTGGGTTCAAGCGATTCTCCTGCCTCAGTCTCCAGAGTAGCTGGGATTACAGGTACCTGCCACCATGCCCAGCTAATTTTTTGTATTTTTAGTAGAGATTGGGGTTTCACTGTGTTGGCCAGGCTGGTCTTGAACTCCTGACCTTGTGATCCACCTGCCTCAGCCTCCCAAAGGGCTGGGATTACAAGGGTAAGCGGCCATGCCCGGCCAGAGCAGCAGATTATTAACCCAGAGGAGGTATCACCTGTCCCTAATTGGCTAAATCTTGAGTCAGAGCAAGGACAATAGTGCTTCCATATCGACTTTATAGATGAGTGTGGCTGTGACCATGGCTCTGCACATTTTGTGGCCCTAAGCTTCCACTGCTGAGGTTCTTGTTTACATTTACAGATTCTGTCACCAAGCACTTGTTATACCAGGAGCTTCTCACGCGACTCTAACAGGTCCCCGGATTTGGAAAATTCAAAGGGTGCCACTCTGAAAATGGGGCTTTAAGGCATCTATGTTGGCCAGGCACAGTGGCTTATGCCTGTAATCCCAGCACTTGGGAGGCCGAGGCGAGAACAGCATGAAGCCAGGAGTTGGAGACCATCCAGGGCAACATAAGTGAGAGCTCATCTCTACACAAAATAAAAAATAAAATTTGCCAGGTGGGGGGGTTTATCCCTGTAGTTCTCGCTGTTGAGGAGGGAGGATCACTTGAGCTCAGCAGTTTGAGGCTGCAGTAAGCTATAAATGTGCCATTGCACTCTGGCCTGAATGAAAAGAGCGAAACCGTATCTCAACAAATAAAGTTAATAAAAGCTTTAAAAAAGGGGAGAAGAGCAAAATTTATTCTCTTATTTTCTGTTGGGGAATTAAACCTCTTATTTCTAGCTCCTTTCAGTAGAAAGAGCTCCTTTCATATTTGGGGTGTACAGACACCTGCAGGGAGAGGCTCCCCAGGAAGAACTAACTGGGCTTCAATGACCTACCACAGCCAAGTCAAGTTCAAATATCCATGGTCTTGAACTCATGGCTACTTGAATTTCAGTAGGTCTGGATTCAGGTACTTGAGGGGGAGCCCTGGACAAATTGTGCATATCAAAGAGGGTTTGTGGGAAAGAAAAAGCAGAGAAGTGCTATCATGTGCCCATGTTAAGTACTCAGTACAGGGTTAGTAAAGAAGCGGTTTGTGCTACAGATACTGGCCCAAGTGGGGTATGCTCCAGCTCATTCTTGTGTCCATGGAGGCAGATGAGATTATGGTCACAGAGTCCAAAAGCCGGGTGGGGGTGGGCTGGAGGGACCAGGTTGCTGGGGTGGGGATAGGCCAGGAGTCTTCTAGGCACCCATGTGGGTTTTTTATGGAAAACTCTCAAAGTAAAGGTGTTGTGATGGGACTCCTGAGGGTGAAGCCTTGTCCTGGAAGGGACATGGCCATGTCAGTACCTAGTGGGTATGTTTACAAGTAGGTGAAAATCATGTAGTGGCAGCAGAGTGAAGAGAGGGGTGTGTCCGCAGAAGTCTTTGCTTCTAAGTCCTCTCTGACCCTGAGAGGAGAACTGGAATCAGAGGAGAATGTGCAACATGTGTGCCGGAGAACAGAACCTCCCATTCCTGAGACACCCTGAGATGCCTCCAGCCCAGGCCACTGTGACGTGTTTTTTCTGACATCAAATGTGTGGAGTTGCTGAACACCAACTGGGTGTCCAACAACTCAATTCTGACACCACCCAAAGTTGACACAGACCCCACAGGTTCAGGACTCAGTCCCACAACACTCCCACCACTGCAGAGGCCAGTCACATGTCCCCGGGACCCACCAATGCTTCTGGGCTACTGCCTATATATCAGAAACTCCCAGAGCCAGGCACGGTGGCTCACACCTATAATGCCAGCACTTTGGGAGACTGCGGTGGGCAGATCACCTGAGGTCAGGAGTTTGAGACCAGTCTGGCCAACCTGGAGAAACCCAGTCTCTTTAAAAAAAAAAAAAAAAAAAAAAAAAAACAAACTCCCACCACCCTCTCCTCAAGTTCAATAATTTGATAGTGCTAGTCACAGAACTCAGGAAAACAATGTACTTATGCTTACCAGTTTATTATAAAAGATAACAACTCAGGAACAGTGAAATGGAAGAGCTTAATATGGCAAGTGAAATTGGTGGGGTGAACAGCTGTGATTAACGAAATCCTTCGGCTCTGTGTTCAAGAACAGCTTAATAAAAAGCAACACTTGCCTCATTATAACTTAGATGATGCTCCCTCTTATACCTACCACAAAGCCAGGCACAGATAATTCCCATTTTTTCCCTATAACCAGTCAACAATTTTGTCTTTAGTTGTTAGAACAAAATACTTACTAACCAAACTGCTTAAGATTCTCTCCTTTCTCCCAGGCCCCTGGATTTGTACCACCCTATGCTTGAGCTAACACAGAACTCCTATTTATGACCCTCCTAAGAAGAGGCCACTTTGGGAGTAAAACTTTTTCTCATCAGGATCTGATTTGCCACCCTGCATCTGGTCCTCTCACTCTCACCTTCTACTCTGGGTTGTTCCTCCGTATGAAAGAAAGCCCTTGTCTGCCTAAGCTTTGAGATCCTGGAAGGTACCATAGCTGGTGCTTTCCCTCTGTTGTAACACTACTTTAGAATTAAGTAACTTCTTACCTAAATGTGAATTTGTTTTATTTGACAAAGTCTAGAAACAGCCCCAGAACAGTAACAATTCCATCCTCAGAAAGAGCCTCCTGACTTCACTTCCATTCCCACCCAACAGCACCTACTTGTGGATCCAAGCTCTCCAGGGCTCTATAGCTCCTCACCATATCAAGGGCTCCTTTCATGCTGGGGTGTGTAGACTGGGACACCTGCAGGGGAGGCTCCCCAGCAAGAACTAACTGGGCCTTCAATGACCTTCTTTTGCAGGCTCAAGATTGGCCTTAACTTAAAGTCACTGGGCTCAGACTTCTGTTTTCCAGTCAGGGTTATTCACTTAGTTTTTATGAGAAAACGCCCAGTGTTTGAAGAATCCAGCAAAACCACTCAAACACAGTGTTTACCTAAGAGAATAAAATTGGCCGGGCGCAGTGGCTCACGCCTGTAATCCCAGCACTTTGGGAGGCCGAGGCGGGTGGATCACGAGGTCAAGAGATCGAGACCATCCTGGTCAACATGGTGAAACCCCGTCTCTACTAAAAATACAAAAAATTAGCTGGGCATGGTGGTGTGTGCCTGTAATCCCAGCTACTCAGGAGGCTGAGGCAGGAGAATTGCCTGAACCTGGGAGGTGGAAGTTGCGGTGAGCCGAGATCGCGCCATTGCACTCCAGCCTGGGTAACAAGAGCGAAACTCCGTCTCAGAAAAAAAAAAAAAGAGAATAAAATTATAAGGCACTTATATTTTATACCTCAATAGAGAGAAGTGTCTATTAGTTTCAGACAATAAACTCATCAAATTATTTCCATAATTCAAATCACTTAGTAAACACACATATGAACATATCTAGGAGATGCCAAGTCCCATCCTCTAAAATTCAATATTAAACTCACACATCTAAATAACAGAGATATCAACTCCACATTCTCCACCCTTTAAAAAAGAGGAACTAATATTTTGACAAATCAGTGTAATTTACCAATTAATCTACTACATTTATTTTGTGGAAATGTATTCATTTCCTACAGCCACACTGGAAGAGAGATTTTCCCTATCACTTTCCCTGGTAGCATTCCCACAGCTAAGCCCTGGGATCTGTTTACAATCACCCTCCAAAAAAGAACAGGCCTGACAAGCTTACTACACTCACTCTAGCGAAGAAAAAGGTAAATCAGTGAATATTTGACTATATATTGAATGTCTTTTCTGAAATCCACCTCTTAAACGTTTTCTTACTTTTGAAGCTCTACTGTTAAAATGCTATAGACAGTTAATAAAAAAAAAAAAATAAGGTTGAATTAAGTGAAAAAAGTTTTCAAGGTGTAAAACCCATGAAGTGGGGCCGGGCGCGGTGGCTCAAGCCTGTAATCCCAGCACTTTGGGAGGCCGAGGCGGGTGGATCACGAGGTCAAGAGATCGAGACCATCCTGGTCAACATGGTGAAACCCCGTCTCTACTAAAACTACAAAAAATTAGCTGGGCATGGTGGTGTGTGCCTGTAATCCCAGCTACTCAGGAGGCTGAGGCAGGAGAATTGCCTGAACCCCGGAGGCGGAGGTTGTGGTGAGCCGAGATCGTGCCATTGCACTCCAGCCTGGGTAACAAGAGCGAAACTCCGTCTCAAAAAAAAAAAAAAAAAAAAACCACGAAGTGGCAATGCTGACTGGAGCACACACAAATTTGACTCAAGTGCCAAGTCAGGCCATCCTATCACTTGGGACGTTCTTCTGTTTCCCCACTGCCCACTGACTGTGCAATGCTCGCCCTCCCTGCTTGCCCAGGAGCCACTACATTGTGTCCCACTGTGTGCCCCAAGAGATTTGGCTTTGCAGATTCTTGCACCACCTCACTGGAGTGGGTTTTCCTTGTCCTTTGGAACAGTTTTTTCCCCTTCACAAGTCTGAGAGGATCCAGATGTCAGAAATCATTTCTGTCTTTTCCTCTCAATATCGGCATCCAACTGGCTGACCAGCAGTGTGTCTCTAAGGAACAGAGAAGCTGGAGTTGGGTGAAGACAATCTTAACTTCCTTGGGTGAGCTTTGTAAACTAAGGGTAGAACGAGATTTCTCTCAGCCCCAGGGCATCCAGCTGCTCCCTTAAGAGGCCCACCTCCGTCACTGAGGTTGTCCTCTGGGAGGAAAGGAACAAGAGGTTAATATCCACTAAACATTCCCTGAGACAGGACTGCTGGGGACACCCTGGGTCACACCTAGACAATAATGAAACCCAGGCACAGAAGAAGACTGAAGAGTGTCTGGGGACACACTACCTTGTAACATTTCCAAAGCGGAACCTCAAACCAAAGACATTCTGATAAGGTGTCTGTGCCTGGGGAAGATAAAAGGCACAAAAATTTTTTTTAAAAGCAGAGTGTCAGGAGATTCTTCTCTGTTCACATAAAATGTCTCCAAACAGAAAACAGATGTCTAAAAAAAGTGCCATCCAATGCTGTGTGAAAAAGTGATTAAAATGCTGTGTGTGAAATGTACAATAAAGGACAAAGAGGCTGGGAGGACAGGATGGTGAATGTGAGGCCCTGCCTGCCTGCTTGCCACACATCTGGATACGCAATGGAAACCAGCCCCCTCCGGAGTGTTTAAAGTCATTAACTAGCAGTCACTAGTCAGATGAAGCAGCACTAGTGCCATGGGTTCCTAAGGAAAGGAATCTAACTCAAACACACGTCTTGTAAATTACCACCTTAGGGGAAAACAATATTCAGGCTGGACCAACCACAAACCTCCAACGAACCTCTCCTTACAGAACCAGGAAGTTTCCACCTGGACAGCCCTAGTGAGGCGACCACCTGACTGCACCCGGTTCCGAACGCGGTTCGCGTCCCCACGCACCTCACGAAGCCGTTGCTCTGGACACCCGCAAACCCCAGCTGGGCGCTCTGCAGGGATGAACAGTTCCTTGCTCAAATAAACTCTAACATTTAAACCGCGGCTCCCTTTACATGTTTACCAGGGAAAAGGAGGGCCTGGGACCCGCAGCGCCCCCACCAAGTGGCTCCCCCGTCGCCACCGCGCAGCCGCGAGCGCTCGACGGCGGGCGAGGGCCCCGGCCGGGCGGAAGTCGCGCGCTGAAGCGGACCGGACGCCGGGTGCGGGTGGCGGCCCAGCCCACATCACGTCCCGCGGCCAGGGGAAGCCGGGCGCCGCGCGGGTCCGGCGGGGTATCGGGTCCGCAGACTCCGGAGGGACACGTGGGGAGGCCTGGGGCCGTCCGAACAGTTCCAGCCGTTTCCCTCAGCCCCGCCCCCACCTCGGGACTCCGGGCATATACCCACCATTTCCCCGCTTCCCGGCTGTCCAGGCCTCTTAGCTATGGATCTCCTGATACCTGCAGGACACAGGGCAAGAGCTGCGGCGGTCACCTGGGCGTCCCCGAGCAGAGCATGCGGAGCACAGAAGACGACCGCCGCGGACTAGGCGAGACGAAGGCCCCGCCACATCCCGGAAGCCGCGCCCTTCTGTCCGGCTGCGCGCCTGATTGGACCGTTCCCACGTCAGCGTCCCTGATTGGATAGGGCTCCAGTCCCCGCCCCCTCAGGCCCTGAGTGACGAGGGTGTGATCAGACGCTGGGCTGACGGCGACAAAGTAACAGGTTCTTGGCTGCAGCCTTTTCATGCAGGGCTTTCTCGTTGCCCTGGGCCTCGCCCAGCCCAGGGACTATTTTCCTTTAACGTTTGTATAAGGTTATATTCATTGATAAACAATATATATATATGTTATTCGCAAATGAAAACAATATAGTGGCAAGGACTTTAACACTTTAGACTTTGGGACCTTTCTGGCCTCTGGTAATTTGATCAGGCAGCCTGAAATTTCATAAAGGAGACAATCCTTTAAGAAATAAAATGTAAGCCACGAGTGAATTTTAGATTTCCTAGTAGCCACCTTTAAAACATTAAAAATAAGGCCGGGCGCGGTGGCTCAAGCCTGTAATCCCAGCACTTTGGGAGGCCGAGGCGGGTGGATCTCGAGGTCAAGAGATCAAGACCATCCTGGTCAACACGGTGAAACCCCGTCTCTACTAAAAATACAAAACATTAGCTGGGCATGGTGGCGCGTGCCTGTAATCCCAGCTACTCAGGAGGTTGAGGCAGGAGAATTGCCTGAACCCAGGAGGCGGAGGTTGCGGTGAGCCGAGATCGCGCCACTGCACTCCAGCCTGGGTAACAAGAGTGAAACTCCGTCTCAAAAAAACAAAACAAAACAAAAAAACAAAAAAAAAACATTAAAAATAACAGGTGAAATTGATTGTCATTTAACCCAATATATTCAAAATATTACTATTTAAATATATAATCAATATATGAATGAACTACATAATTTTCGGTAGTCAATCTGTGAAACTCACTCTGTATTTCGTCAAACCTTTCCAGCACGTCTCAGTGCAGCCAAATTCCAGGCCCTCAGTACCCACACATGGCCAGTGGTTGGCACACTGAACGCAGCTCCGAGGGAGGTGAAGGGCCTGAACCTTCATTTCCTTCCAGAAGTGAAAGATCAGTGCTTCCTTATCAACATCTCTCCCCAGCCCAAAGGCTGAAGGGACAGGGCCCTAGAGAGAGCAAGGGCTGCAAAAAGAGTGTCCACAGGTAGACCACTGCTGCCCCCCTGCTGTCCATCTTCCTTTCAAAGATCAGACAGTGAAAAGAGAACAGTGGAGTCCCAGGAGGACCTAATGCCAAGTCTTTAGGTCTGTCCACAGCTGTGACTTCCAAAGTTTAGATATAGAGAAAACAGATTAAACAAACTTCTTTTTTTTTTTTTTTTTTTGAGACAGAGTTTCGCTCTTGTTACCCAGGCTGGAGTGCAATGACGCGATCTCAGCTCACCGCAACCTCCACCTCCTGGGTTCAGGCAATTCTCCTGCCTCAGCCTCCTGAGTAGCTGGGATTACAGGCACGCGCCACCATGCCCAGCTAATTTTTTGTATTTTTAGTAGAGACGGGGTTTCACCATGTTGACCAGGATGGTCTCGATCTCTTGACCTCGTGACCCACCCGCCTCGGCCTCCCAAAGTGCTGGGATTACAGGCGTGAGCCACGGTGCCCGACCAAACAAACTTCTTATATTGGTATTTGGACTTGGCCCTAATGAACAGGCTATTGGTTGTATTTTTCCTCCTATGCTGTGGGAGACTGGGTGAGTTTACCAATTACATGTGCACATAGACATGTGGACATATGTACCTCTACATAACTCATCACTGTTTAATGAGATCCAAATTTAAATAAAGGGAAAAGAAAATCAATACCTATAGGGTGCCTACTGTTTGCACATAACTAGTAATCAGTCTCTCACTGAATTTTGACATCCTGTCTGTATTGGGTGTATGTATTAGTTAGCGATGCATAACAAACCACCTAAAACTTACTAGCTCATGATTCAGCTGGTCAGCAATTTAAGCTAAGCTCAGCTGGGCAATGCTTTTGGTCTCAGCTGGGATCCTTCAGACATGTGGTAAGATGCTGATTTTAACTGTTTCTAGGGGTGAGTTGCCTGTCAACTGGGGCACCTTTGTTCTTCTCCATGTGGTATCTCATCCCCCAGCAGGTTAATGTGAGCTTATTATCATAGAGGTAACAGGATTCTGAAAGAAAAACATAAGCACTCGGAGAGAGATCCAAGATGGCTGATCACTAGCAGCTCGGGATTGTAGCTCCCAGTGAAAGTGCAGAGAACGGGAGGATGCCACACTTCCAGACGAATTTTTGTTGCTCACACACCAGGAGATTCCCAGTGGAGGAGCCCCACGGGTCACCAGTGTGACTCTTGTGGCCAGCGAGGCGGTTTTGCCGCTGCCTTGGTGCGGCGGTTCTTGGTGCAGAGTCAGAAAAGCACCATCAATCTTAACACTGCTGTTTTGGCCGGCGCAGTGTGTTGCTCAGATTTTAGTGCCGGGAATCAACAAGTTGGACGTCCACTCAGAAACCCAATTATAAAGACCACAGATGGATAAATCTATAACGAAGGAAAGAAACCAGCCTAAAAAGGCTGAGAATACCCAAAATCAGAACGCCTCTCCCTCTATAGGAGATCACAGTTCCTCATCAGCAACAGAACAAGGCCTGATGGAGAACGAGTGTGTTCCATTAACAGAAGTAGGCTTCAAAAGGTGCATGATAAGAAACTTCAGTGAATTAAAAGAACTTGTTCCAACCCAAAGCAAAGAAACTAAGAACTTTGAAAAAAGGTTTGATGAAATGTTTACAAGAATACACAATTTAGAGAGGAATATAAGTGAATTAATGGAGCTGAAAAACATAACACAAGAACTTCGTGAAGTATGCACAAGTTTTAACAGCCAAATTGATCAAGCAGAGGAAAGGGTATCAAAGGTAGAAGACCAACTTAATGAAATAAAATGAGAAGACAAGATTAGAGAAAGAAGGATAAAAAGGAACGAGCAAGGTCTCCAAGAAATATGGGACTATGTGAAAAGACCTAATCTACGTTTGATAGGTGTACCTGAATGTGATGAAGAGAATCAATCCCAACCTAGCAAGGCAGGGCAATATTCAACTCCAGGTAATACAGAGAACACCACAAAGATATTCCTCAAGAAGACCAACCTCAAGGCACATAATCGCCAGATTCACCAGGGTTGAAATGAAGGAGAAAATACTAAGGGCAGCCAGAGAGAAAGCTCAGGTTACCCATAAAGGGAAGCCTGTCAGACTCACAGCAGATCTCTCAGCAGAAACCCTACAAGCCAGAAGAGAGTGGGGGCCAATATTCAACATCCTTAAAGAACTTTCAACCCAGCATTTTACATCCAGCCAAACTAAGCTTCATAAGTGAAGGAAAAACAAAATATTTTGTGAACAAGCAAGCACTCAGAGATTTCATCACCACCAGGCCTGCTTTACAAGAGCTTCTGAAAGAACCACTACACATAGAAAGGAACAATCAGTATCAGCCTTTCTAAAAAAATACCAAAAAGTAAAGAGCATCAACATAATCAAGAATTTATATCAACTAATGGTCAAAACAGCCAGCTAACATTAAATGGCAGTATTAAACTCACAAATATTATTATTAATTCTAAATTTAAATCGACTAAATCCCCCAATCCAAAGACACAGATAGGCAAAAAATGCCAAAACCCATCAGTATGCTGCATCCAGACCCATCTCACATGCAAGGATACACAAAGATTCAAAACAAAGGGATGGAGAAAGATTTACCAACCAAATGGAGAGCAAAAATAAACAAATAAATAAAAAGCAGGAGTTGCAATTTTTGCCTCTGATAAAATAGACTTCACAGCAACAAAGATCATAAGAAGCAAAGAAGGATATTACGTAATGATAAAAGGATCAATGCAACAAAAAGAGCTAAAGATCCTAAATATATACACACCCAATACAGGAATACCCAGATATATAAGACTTATAAAGAGACTTAGACTCTCACAGAATAATAGTGGGAGACTTCAACATCAATATTAGACAGATCAATGAGACAGAAAATTAACAACAATATCCAGTATTTGAACTCAGATCTGGAACAAGAAAACTTAATTAACATTTATAGAACTCTCCACTTTAAATACACAAAATATACACTCTTATCAGTACCACATCACACCTATTTACAGGTTTAAATGAAATATTCGTTGGCTGCTTGTTATTTTCTTCCCTCATTTTTTTTTCATGTCTCTATTATTAAGCACAATTATAGGTATACCCATTTTTCGACTGCATTCTAGCCCAGGCAATAAAGCAACACCCCCGTTCTCTCTCCCTCTTCCTTTTCCTCTTTCTTCCTCTCCTTCATTTTTTTTAAATTCTTTCTTTCTCTCTTTCTCGTCTGAAACAAAGCAAGACTCTTCCACCTATAAACTTGTAAAATCAAAAACAAGTTAGTTACTCCCAAGATACAATGGGGGTATAGGCATTGGGTAAACACTCCAGTTCCCAAAAGGAGACATTGGCCAAAAAGGGGCTCCTGGCCCCATGTAAGTTTGCAACCCAGCAGGGCAGTCATAAATCTTAAAGCTCCAACATAATCTCTTTTGACTTTATGTCTCAAATCTGTAGCACACCGGTGCAAGGGGTGGGCTCCCAAGACCCTGGGCAGCTCTACTCCTGTGACTTTGCAGGGTTCGTCCCCAGTGGCTGATCTCACGAACTGGTGATGATTGCCTGTAGCTTTTCCAGACACAGGGAACAAGCTGCCAGTGGATCTACCATTCCAGGGTCAAGAGAATGGTGGCCCCCTTCTTACAGCTCCACTAGGCAATGCCCCAGTGGGGATTCTGTGTGGGGGCTATACATTTCCCCTCCATAGCCTAGTAGAGGTTCCCCATGAGGGATCTGCCCCTTGCACAGGCTTCTACCTGAATACCCAGGCTTGCCCATACATCATCTGAAATCTAGGTGGAGGCACCCAAGCCTCAACTCTTGTACTCTGTGCACCCACAGGCTTAACACCAGGTGGAAGCTACCAAGGCCTATAGCCTGCACCTTCTGAAGCAGTGGCCTCAACTATGCCTGGGCCTTTTTGAGCCAAAGCTGGAGCTGGCATGGTTGAGATGCAGGAATTTGTGTCCCAAGGCTGTGCAGGGTGAGCCCTGGTCATGGTCCATAAAACCATTTTTCCCTCCTAGGCCTCTAGCCCTGTGATGGCAGGGGCTCTTGCCAAGGTCTCTGAAATGCCTTTGAGGCCTTT